TAATTTAAAATTAAAAAAAAAAAAATTCGAAATTTAAAAAAATTAAATTAATTAATTTGCAGGTTTTGGCGATTTCGTGCCCGCTAAGGGTGTGAAAGACGAATCGGAGCAGTCCATCGCTTACTGTTCGCTATATTTGCTCTTCGGCATAGCGCTTCTGGCGATGAGCTTCAATCTGGTGCAAGAGGAATTCATTTGCAACGTGAAAGAGGTGGCGAGACGCTTGGGAATTTTAAAGGATGAAGAAGACGACGATTAAAGTATGACGAGAAATTGTTTATTTTTATTTTGATTTTTCGTTTTTTGTTTTACAAATCAGCAAAGTAGATACAAAAGCACAAGCAAAATATTTACACAAAAATAACGGTTAGAAAGTGAAGCAATTTTAAATTGTATACATTTGAAAATAAACATACAACAAAGTAAGAGGAAGAGGTTACTAAAATAAAATAAAAAAGATTGAATTGAATTTTACCAAAACATTCAATGGCGACAATAAACGAAAGGATACAACGAAGGTACCGCTGCATATTGATACTAGTCATTCTACACCTCATATAATTGTATAGTATTGATATTTATTATATTTAACTTTTAAAAAGCTGTATTTTATGCAACAAAATTTTATTGTACATTTTTGTTGTAATTGCATGCGAGTTCAATAAATTTCGAAATCCCATAGCAGTGACTTATGCATTCGCGCCGCACTTTTGTCGTTTTCAATTAGATGCATGCTTTCGAGTAACTGTTAGGCATGCCGTTATTCATAATTAAGTAGCGCAAACTGCAGTTATGCATACCTTCAGCGTGAAGTACAAGCATTTGGTTTAAATATACAGTTAAATAATGTAAATAGCAAGAACGGTAATACAATAGAAGCGTTGCAAATAGTTTTTAGGACAAGTTCTCCTTGTTAGCCTGCAAATAAGGAAAAAAACAATCAGAAACACAGTACTTTCAATTTTTTTTGTTTTTTTAAATCACTCACTCTTGAAGTTGGTGCTGATGAGTTGTGTGCTGGGGACGCTTTGCGTGGCGAACTGCCGCTAGACAGTGAGTTGCTGTTGCGTAACTGCTTTTGCGATAAGATGGCATTTAATTTTTTGTTTGTGGCATTATTTGCTTGCGGCGTGACTACATTTGTTAGATCAATTGGTGTTGAGTTGAGTAGCATTTCCGCTTGAGATATTTCCTGCACAGAATTTTTCAACTCATGCTCATCCTCGCTGCCCTGTAATTCAAACGAGCGTGATAAATATAAAAATATTAGAATAAAAATTTCAAATATACTGCTATATAATGGCAACATACCTCATCAATAGGCGCTGTTGTGTCCAAATCGGACCACTCGTTCTCTTGACGAAACCGTTTCACAATGTCTATGTGTGGCGATGTGGACGCCAATGAACGAGGATAAACGTAATTGCGCTTTGATGGTGTAGCACCTGTAATATGCAATGGTAATTTGTATATTTTTCGGTGCAAATTCAACTACAATGTCTTTTACCTGTTGGCGCGTACGTCTTAAGCTCACTTTGTTTAAATTTGTCCACATCGCTGACGCAAGTGCCAATCTGCTCTTTGTAAGTGTTAGCATAATTCAGTATATTTTGCTGCGAGGCGTTGATCAAGCCAGACGTAATGGCCACATGTTGCTTGAAACGTTGGGCATCTTCCGTAAGACTCGCCTTTACATCATTAGTAGCTTCGTCAAGTTTCGACTCGCCCTCCAATCGTGCGCGCTTCACTTCGTCGACATATGTTCCCAGCGTTTTCTGTGTGCACTCCATATGTGTGGCGGCCGTAGTGGTGAACTCAGCGACGCGCACGCACCCATCTTGTTGGATGCTACAGAGCTGCTCCTTGAGCGTTGACTCTGCATTTGATTGTTGTTCGTGGCATTTCAGGGCTTCGGCGGTTTGCTTTTCAAACTGTTGCTGCGCTGCCACGTTCTCATTGCAACTCTCGTCGCAATAGGCTTGCGCAAATGTCGAGCTCTGTTGTAAGCGCTCGATGGTTGAAAGCGTGTTATCTTCCAATTTTATCGTTAGCTTGTTAATGGCGTCAGCGCGTGTCCTGCGACTCGTGTAGGATTTCTCTTTCAAGGTGTTCAATTTTTCGATGATTTCTTCCATAATTGTCTGTTCTTCGGCAGCCGCTGTGCGCTCATTTTCTATTTCTACATGCATTAGTGCCAAATGTTGTATGCTTATCTCGGAGATCTGTTTATTTTCAGCAATGCGTTCCGTTATTTTTTTGGTATGCACATGTAGATTTTGCGATTTTTCTTGCAGATTTTCTAAAACGGTTTTACACATTTTTTCGGTGTTTGCCTTTTGTTGCTCTGTGTACCGCACTAAATCTTGTAGTTTCTCTTGCATTTGTGCAATCATTTCGATTTGTTTACTCTCCAGCTCTTTAAACAGATTGGTAAGTTTAATTTTTTGTTCGCTGCTGGCATCGCCAAGCGTTTGTGAGTATTTTTCAATGATGTTGCTGGTTGATGCAAGTGATTCTTTGCATAAATCGTTGACTTTCTGTATTTTCATGCCGCTATCATTTATCAGCTTCTTGTGAGCATTTGAGGTGTTAGCTGTAATAAAGAATATATGTAATTAATATTTGAAATTTTTAGTACATTTAAATGGAATAATTTTACCAAATTCTTCTAGAAGCATTTTAGTGCATGAATCTTGTTTCTCTTTCAAAGTGCTTAAACTACTGTCCATTAATTCGAAGTTGTCATGCATACGTTCGGCGAAACGTTCACAAGCAGTTTGAATTTTCACATCAACATCTTTTCTGCGCTCAATTGTACTCTAAATGCGAAAAACAGTGTTGAACAAAATTTAAGGAAAAAATATATTTAAATTTTACATACATGCAATTGATGTGTGTCTTTTGTGGCAATGTCGGCAACATCTAAAATTTCCAATGCCTGATTCGTTAGCACCTCTTCGGTTTTCATGTGTGATTGCAGCAAAACCTTTTTCTCTTTATAACGTCGTTTAGTGTTATTGAGTATCTACAAATATATTTGTAAAAATATTTGTTTTAGCTATGTAGGTATTTTATTTACCCGTTTGGTCAGCTGCAATGCGCCTTGTGTCTGATTGAGATTTTGTTCCGCGCGCTTCAACTCTTCCGTTTTCTCCACCAAATTTAAGCTAACCTCGGTAAATATACGTTCTTTATTTTGTAGCTCATCCTTTAATGCTTTTAAAAGCAACATTTTCTCATTTAATTCCCGATTCTGTGAATCCATTTTCAATGTCATTTCGTTGTATGTGTCCTCTGCTAAGTAAATGCCATTTTTGTCTCTTGCCGCAATTAAATCCCGTTTCAGCTTATCAATCTCCTCGGTGTACTCTTTGAGCACAGTTTTCTTTGTTAGTTTTTGGTTTACTTCTGGTTTATTTTGTATGTTTTTAGCGCGATGTGCGTATTCCAATGTGCTCAATGTCTCCTCAATATCTTTATGGCCAGGTGAGATTGTGGCAATTATGGATGTTTTCGTGCGACCACCTAGTTTATTAATTTAACATAAATAAATAAGAAATACATAAATCGTCATTTTAAAAGCTCACCTAACGATTCTTGCAGCAAACGAGTTAGTTTGGACTCTCGGTATGGTATGTGCGGTGTGCGTTCTACTAGAGCGGTGATGACACGACCCAAAGTCAACAGACTTTGATTTATATTAACGGTTTCCCTAGCACGTATGCCTTTCTCATTACCCGCCTTGGTCACGTTTTCACTACCCGCTAGATCTACTAAGTTTAATTTGCCGATTTTCAACATTTCCTCGCCGTCTATGCCATTCTCACGTATATGTACCAGAATCGAGAATACTGTGTGCGATCGTGACGATTGCGCATTCATTAAGGTGGTAGCCGTCTTTCGCCGTTCTTTACCCTTTTCCAAAAGCTTATATACATCATCTTTGCTATGCACTGGTATCTCTTCCAAGCCTTGTATGATAACTGAGCCCTTCTTTGTGCTATCGTCAAAGATACGTATTTTTACACTATCATCTGATGATAGCAAATCGCATAATTCCTCATTATATAATTCCAAATAAGAAATACGCATCGAAAATTCCATCTCCAACATACGTAATTCGTCGAATAGGTGACTCAGAGCGCGTGGTATAATACCAATGTCAGAATCCTTAAAAACAAAAAAAGTTGCCAATTAGTTTAACTGCATTCTAATGTCTTTTACAATCAGTAGCAGCGTTCCAATTAAGTTCAGGTAGAGAGTTTAAATAGTCACATTTCAAGGCTACATGTTGTGCCTTTTCAACAAACTGGTTTTTCACCCACATATGCGATTAAGCTGCTAACACAAACCCTTTTCAAAGTCATTAATGCAAAAAATTATACTTACGTCTTCCCAAGACGATTTCAACTCGGCGCATTCAGTGCCCACCATTGTGTGCGTTTTTCCCGTACCAGTTTGTCCATAAGCAAATACAGTACAGTTGTAGCCGGACAGTACCTCCTCAATGAGAGGCGCCACAACTGTGCTGTAGACATCTGCTTGGCGTGAATCCGTACCAAATACGCGATCAAATGTAAATTTTTTGGTCAGCTTTGATTCAATTGTATGCCTTGTTACGATTTCACGATGTGAAACCGTTTCAATTACTTCCGCGGACCGTATACATCGTTCTCGTGCATTTAAAGGCCTAAACAGCAAACATGAAGTTTAAGACACATTTGTTTTTTCAAAGGAAGCAAAGCGTTTGTTACTTACCTAACGCGCACATAAACTTGAATATTTTGATTCGATATCTTGCGTGGCTGCTGGCTCGATGCGTTATTATTTGCACCTGAAGAAGTGTTCATCGCCATGAAATTGTTTAATTAATGTTCAATAAATACAAAAAATACAAGGAAAAAGTTCGCTACAGTTTCGCTGCTATTTACGTATTCCAATCGGCTGAATTCGAAACGACCGTTTGAAATGCTTCGTTCAATTTCGTACAGCTGGCCGAATACAAAGTGCTGCCAATCAACCCAGTGTTGCTTAGAAACGAAAGTGTTGCCAGTAAGCATGTCAAAATATTAAAATTGATTTTAATTGATTTTTGCATTCACTTAGTTGAATTATTTTGTATGATTATTGTAATTATAATTTAAAGTCAGTATTTATATAATGTCGAAACTGAATAAATTTTTGTCTTTAAAACAACTTGGGCTCAATAACATCGCGTTCCACAAAACTTTTGAACTGAATTTTTTTGCTAGCATAGCAATAACAAAAACATATGTATTTGTAAGGAAGATGGCGGAAGTTGTAATTCATTTAGCAGGAACTAATAGCTGATAATTCTTTAAAAATATTCTATCTGATTCAATATCTACATGAAATACCATACGTTGAATAGTTGAATGTGGTTTTATAAATTACCAAGTCCAATTATAGAAGTGGCTTTAAAGAGCTAATATTTCGGATGCTCCTTAGCATTGAACTTAAGGTTAACTGGATTATAAAATTATTGTTTTCTCGCTCAAAAAATGGGACAAATGGTTTTTATAGTATTTACTTGTTAAAGTTATCTTTCTACCACGACAAATTCGGTAAAGTTTTTTGTCAGGAAAGGGAAGATAGAAGAAATATTTCTAATAGCAGAAAATATTGGAGCAGAAGGTAAGCTTCAATTATATATGCCTATATATTTTAAACTGGACTATATATTTAATTTTTCGGATCTCAAAAACATATATGATGTTGAACCCAGTTGAGTGGCACCTTAAATATATTGGTAAGCTAGAGTCTTATTGCCGAATAGAGATCAGTAACTTCGTTCCCACGACAGCCCGGGTTTGCGTAACCGGAACTGGCACGAATTTTTTATCCGGGCAAGGACTGTCAACTCGGCAGGATTTTGCCGTTACAACAACAAATATCACTAACAAAAACTTAAAACTATGAGCTAAATTTAAGATATTTTGAAACAATTCAATAATGTTTAAGTAGTTCATTTTCAAAATATACTCTGCCTGAATATCCAAAATTCAAGTCCAAATTGTTTTATTATATATGTGTATGTTTGTATTTCATTCTCACTCAAAAATAGATTTTACTCAAAATATGCCTAAATATCAAGCAGTGCCTTAAGACCGGCTTCTGGCAGGAAAACAAAATTTAAAACAATTTAAATTTTAGGATTTAAAAATATATTAGAATATTCAATATTTATTTATCTATAAGGCCCTGACAAATGCATTTTGGCAACATAAATATAACTCAAATTCTAAATATTTTGCTGAGCATGAGAGACTCATAAATATGTATATAAACATAAACAAGTGTTTTCATTTGAGCCATATCTCGCTCGCTAAAGGTAGAAACGATCGCCAGCTCCACGCTCCAAGCCAAGTTATGAGCACAACCAAGAGTTTAGTTACTAAAAGTCGTTGGTTTGTGCTAACGTCTCGCGCGGACGATCATGTTTTCGAGCAAAGTGTGAAAATTCGTTATTGTGTTTAATTTTCTTTTCTTTGGTATAACCAAGTATTAGCTCAAAGAAGAAAGCAAAGCATACTTTTTATTACATTGCAGTGCGGACATCGGTAATTCTTAGGAAAATACGAAAAATATAGTATTTGCAATATTTCGTGCATTTCGCAAGAGTGCAAGTGGAGAAACGCGAATGCGACACCACCGGTGACGTTCAAAAAGTCATCAAAAGGCAAAAGCCAAAGCGAGTTTTACGCAAATACATACACACATACATAATGCTCTACATGGATATACTTACATAGTGAATATAAACAAATTCGGTGCATATTTTACTCGCATTGCGGCGTTTTTCTGCTTTAATCGCGTTTTCTGGTGGCAAATGCCATTTGTGCACGACGCTGATCATACTCACATACATACACACATATAGACTAAAAGTAAGTTAGAGCGAGTTACGAAAAATGTTTAGTTACTGTGTGAATACTAAAGGTGTTATATGGGTTTTGAACTAATTTAGTGATTGAAATGTGTTTTTTTGGTATTTTGTTATTTCAGTTAGCTAATATAAATGCTGTTAACTGCATAATTGACTATATGGAACTCGGATGAAAGGATAAGGCATATGTATAATAGTTGAAAATTAGAACATTTTTTTTTTAGATTCTAGTATACTACATTAGCATTTACAAATATTTATATATGCATGTGTGTGTAAAGGGTTTTAGAAAATTGCAACAAAACAATAGCCAACTGATACGTCAGAGAAATGTGGCGCGTAGCTATTTTCGCAACAAGAAAAACCTGACGAACAGGTAGTAAACTGCGGCGTATAAAAGCAAAAACAAAAACAAAAAACAGGGAAAAAGAATAAGAATGGTAAATGATAGAGAACAGCGACTAGCGCGTTGACGTTTGTTAAAATATTTTAGTGGGAACAAGTATGTAGTTACGCTTATATATACATACATACGTTATATATATGTATGTAGCGAAGTCCACTTGTGAATTTATTTATAGCAGTTTTTACTATGCGATGGATGCCTACTTGTCAGTTGCTTACTTCACCCAAGAAGAATCTCAGCTTCTCTTATTGTCTTGTGGTTTGGTCTTCGCCCATTGTTTGCATAAACACACACACACACACACATACATACACTCAAATACGTGACGCATGTACATCCATATAATTTATTAACAAGTTCGCTTTTAGTTTGTAACTCAAGACTTGCTGTTTTATTGTTATTGTACCTATTTCGTTTTTCGACCGCATTTGTTGTTGTTAACCACTTTTATAGACTATCAGCGACACATTGACTGTTCGAATTCCAAATAGTCTAACGTACATACATATGTATGTTTTTGTGTATATAGCCGCTAGATAAGCATTGTATTTGGCCAGCATGAGAAACGTGATCTAGTAATTTGCACAAAACTCTCTACAGCTGAAAAATGAAAACAAATCAGTCTTCTCGCACTCCGTCAAGGGGTGCGGTGTAGTTTCACAAAACGACTCAAGCGCATAGAAATCACGTACAAAAGCGGATATAACCATAGAAGTCATAATGTGTTCTTAGCATGAGAATTTGGCAACGATGATGAAAAAGTTGCTATTGTTTTTTTTTTATATATCGGGAAAGTCGGAAGAAGTCTGTCTATTAGAGTATTTTGGATGAAGGATATAAAGTGACTGTTCATGGAAATGCTGTTTTAGGCCTCAGCTAATTATTTTCAACTTAAGTTTTAGGTTCAAAACCACAATTTCCATGTTTATGTTTTATTAAATTAATTATATTTATTTTCTAATTTTTAAGAAAAACCACCTGCTATACTCCTACAAGTTCTTACCGGTCAGTAGTTTAGTACAACTGGGGCCATTCCGTCAAAAGTGGCAGCTTTTCGGTGGTCTACGAAGCCGATTTATATAGGAAATTTCCAGTTATTATTCATTTCAATAATCTGTGTGTTCTTGAAAGTCACGTCGGCCACCCCAGAGCGATTAACGATGCTCCAGGTTGCTGACCGAGGTTAATATTACTTAAGAGACAACAACGGCTTGATCAATTAGAACTTAAGTATTTTATGTTTATTTCCCCTTTAAACGTTAATCAGAAACACTGTCGTGTCAGCTCTATCAAAGTTGATTATGAGGGTATGTTAGGTGGGGTTAAGAGTTCGATCCTAAATCGACAAAGCGCCTTGAGCTTACCAAAAATTTGTGTAAAGGCCTAATGCTAATTCCGCCAAAGTCTCTTAGTTCGCCGCAGGTATGACAGCCGAAATGTGTCACTCTCAGTTTTGCAAGAGCTGGACAATGTTTGAGAAAGTGCTTGGATCTTCCCATTTCACCTTCTTGCATATAACTTTGATATGAATACATATTGTCTAATAAGAACTCCTACTCCCTTCCCTCGACAGTCGGGTCGAAGTAGCCGATACGGAACCGGATTTAAATACAGTCAAGCACTTTCAGCTCGGCACCATGCCTCGAAACTAGTTTAGGAATTCTTCCTGGCGCTACAACAACAAATACTACTACGAATACCGCAATGTGAAGGTTGCTAAGGGCAAGCAGCTCAGAATATTTCCTGCGTTCTAAGGTTAAAAGCATCTCTCAGTCGCTTTGGAGTTGGCCTTCGACCAACGCCTGCTAAGCGCACGCAAAGTTCATGGTTCCAGTGCTAAGTTTAGTCAGAGATCCAACTCTTTGCCAAGCTGATACGTGCGGAACGAGGTGTCACCTCGAGTTTGACAATGAAGTAGCTTGATGCTGTTTCTAGCGAGGACACACACTAGTTTTCTAACTTTGAGCGTACAGTCAGCGAGCTCAGCGCTTGTATTGCCGCATGACAGTCGTATTGAATGCTCACCAAAAGAGCCTGCACTTGGAACAGTATGTCTGCTGCTACTTTAAAAACAGCGTATTATTTCTGAAATACACTACAAAAGTCGAGTACAGAAGACTCTCTCTCCAACCCACATTCTTAGCTTCTACCCAACCATGTAAAGGTGCCCAAGTTTTCTGGGACGCAGTTGAAAAAGCCAAAAAGCTGATTATCAGTAAATGAGGTTTCCGACTGGGCGACTCGTGAAGATTGATATCTTTTTTTATATTTAAAGTATCAGTAAATAACTAACGTGAGCATTGAATCTAATTTGCTCAAGCTCAAAGCTCAATATTCTATTGCTTGCCATGACGTTTTTTTATGGAAATACAATTATATTTACTTCAAGATATCCCCAAACCTGAGATGTTTTGGTTCCTTTTGAATTTTTTCAAGTTTGATATAGCCATATTTCGGCTCACTTTTGATTAGTTCATTCCCTACAATCGAAAATGGCTTGACCCACATCCAGATTCACAGATTTGAATTATCTTTCAGCAGAAATCCACAATAATAAATAAAGCAAATATTAGCATAATTTGCGAAAAACCAAAAGAGAAATCTGTCCAATACTTAGGAAAAAATAGCATATGTAG